TTTTGAAGCGAGAGGAATTCCTCATCTGTGTGCACTGGACAAGCAGGCATTCAAGCTGCGCTGGAAGCGCACGAAGACCGCCAAAAGAATGACAGCTTTTTTCGCTCGGCACGAAAGAGTTGACAAAAGTTGGAGTCGAGTCATGTCCCCAAAGACATGGTACTCACTGAGCGAAGAATCGTTGGCAAGGTCAGCAGCTGCATGGTCTTGGTTACGGCTTTTTGTCTCAAAGAACCTGAAGCAGTGTGGCATTCAGCTGAATGACATTTGTCAAAACCTTACTTACTTACTATGTTTCTATTTAGTTCTGCGTGTGTGGTAAGTTTCTTCTAACTTTTCATTTGCAACTGTTACCTCGGTGTCAGGATGCTAGGGCATGCATCCTCCTCAGACCTGGCATGATCTTCAAGCCACGGCAGACTTTGGATGGAGCAGAAGTGGATGACAAGATCTTCATTGTGGTGTCCAACCTCAAATGGGCCCTGCTGGTTTGGCCCATGACGCTATTCGATGATGGGTCTTTGAAGCTTACGCGCAGAGGGAGCCTTGAATGGTATTTCACCACTCGCATTGACCAGCATGAGTCGGCCATTCCTTCTCCCATCCTGACTGAAACTGGCATCTCTGTTTCGGCTGACACATGGGAGCACTCTGCCAAAGCGATGCTCAGGAACCATTCCTTGGAAATGACTTTTGCTGATTTGGTCTTTGTTGCAGGAAGCTTGCTTGGAATCAATGATCCACACAAGCTCTCGAGGCGAGATCTTGTCGAGGCTTTGGCGTTGCTACTTGGTGATGCTGACTTCGCAAAGCAGGTTCTTTCCAATGAAGAGACTAAGAAGAAGAAAAAACTCGATGATCCAACGGCAGATGATTCTTGCTCAGAAGATTCACTAGCTGAACTTCTCTTAGACAACATGGATGCTGCCGACGCCGATGATTTCAAAGAGCTGAAAAAGCGGGTGAACAACAAACGCAACCTGAACAAGAAAAGGAAGTGGGCTCAGTGGAAGCAAGAAGACATGGAGGCCACTGAAAAGAAGAAAGCCCTGAAAGCTATGAGAGCCAAGGCAAAATCAAAGTTCAATGTTCATGGTCGCGCCAAAGGACGTGGTGGTAGAGGCCGAGGGAGAGGGCGAGGCAAAGGGAGAAGCAGCCGCATGCCTGCGGCTGATGCTCAGCATGATGAACCGGAGGAGCCAACAGCAGGAGAGCCCATGAGACAGCCTGAGGATGCTGAGCTCGAGCCAACAGGAGAAACCATGAGACAGCTCAAAGCTCAAAGCATGGAGGCAACAGCAGATCGCACCACTCTCGATGAATTTGTCGATGCAGTGTTCGTCAAGCCGGAGGCAGAGGTGGGGTCGGGCGCCAGCTCCTCGCGCGCTGGAGTGGGACCAGATGTGGCCGATGGTGTTGGATCTGAGGAAGCTCCACACGGGCCAGCAGTGTCGTCAGATGTGTCAGTTGTTTCCAACGCTCCTCACAGTCAATCTTCGCACCAAGCACCAGCAGAGGACTCAGTTCGCATGTCACAAGGCGATGCTGCGTCTGAAGTTTTGCCTGACAGTGTGGTTCCTCCAAGGGTTTTGCACGAACCGCGTGGGCCGAATCTTTACCACAGCCCGGAAACGTTGAAAGACTTGGCACCGCCTGGGTGTAGCATTTTCCTCAACAGCAACTTGCATTGCATGTTGCTTCAAAGGTTAGTTGAAGGTTAGTTGCAACTTTTTGCGAGCCTGAGCCTACCTTGTTTTTTGCTTTTGCCTCCTTCAATCAAAAGCCCTTGGTGGTGTGGCTGCTCAGGCAATGACCACAGATGGACTGCCAAGTGGCCTCCCGGGCTGACTGATTGCAGGTCGTTCAGCAGAACATTTGACTACAAGCAGGCTTCAAGCTGGAGGACAATGTTGGAGATTGTGCATCAAACAGCCTGGAGCAAGTACAGGTCTTACAACCAGAAGAAAGGTTTCTTGACTTGGACTTGTGTTTCTTGTTCCGGTCGCTGTTTGTTCGGTGCTTAGTCAGTCTATTGACTGAAGGAGTCCATGTTTTTGCAAAGTGTTGCTTGCTCAGGGTACGAGCTCCCGCCTGACCGTGTGCAAACGCCAGGAGTGATTCCTGAAAGCCTGTTTGTAAAGCTGGCTAAGGATGTGGATAAGCTTCCAGCCAAAGTAAAGTTTCCAAGAAAAGGCTGATCAGGCTGGCTGACATGGCTGATGCCTGTGCAATTTTCGAGCAAAAGAAAAATTGTGCGTTCACTCAATGCCCCCCCTCAGCTGTTGCCATGAGTCCCTTGTTTTTAATATGTTTTAACCTCAATTCGAATTTCAGCTTGGCTTTGTGTCTTTGGGTGTCACACGTGGCCTCAGCCAGTCAGATGTTGTCAGTGGTCGCATGTCTTACACATGGTAAGGTGTAGAAAACAGCCGGCTCACAACGTTTTGACATCACCCACGGAAACACCAAGTTTGGCGACCAATAGTATAGGCCAGCCCAGCGCCATGAAAGGCAAACGATGCCAGCCCAAGTGGCTTGCAAGTCCTGCCTGTCCTCAGCCGGCAGCAGCATGGTTTCCCATGGTTGCGATGGCCATGATGATGGCGCAGTCAGCTTCAAAGTTGAAGTTGGCCAAGACAGCCAAGAAGAAAAAGCTACCCAGACCTGAGCCTGAGCGAAGTTCAGTGGCACCTCACAATGTTGCAGTTTCTGAGCGAAGTTCAACAGTGGCCCCTCACAATGTGGTCTTGGTGGCGCCTGGTTCTGGGGTTGGCGTCAATGAGACTGAGAGCCAGCTTCGCGCTAGCGAAGACCCAGTCTTAACACAGATGTTTGGAAAAGCTTACCAATGTCAACTCCACGACTTCCTTCCCTGGTCGTCCTTGCCGAGGTTTGACATAATTGTTTTCACTCAGCTGTTACCAGAGTTTCCAGCACCTTCATGTTGAATTTTGGTAGGGCCTTCATGGGGTTGGGTGGCGTTGTGTCTTGTACAACATGTTGCTAGTTTGTCTGCGCGTCTGCTCCCTTGTGCAGGTGCTTTCTTCCAGCAGAAGCGGACTTGGTGACGCACTATGAGACTTTGATCAACGACTTTTTGGCAGCTGATGCAAGCGTCAACAACGGTCAGGCAGCATGTCTCTGGCCACAAATTTTGGCTATGTGCTACCCGGCGCTTGCTTGCAAACCTCTGGTCCACATGATGCTCGCGCTTGTTTTCAGGGGTCTCAGAAACCAAGCAACTCAATGCAGTGGGCATGCGCTGGACTTTGTTGAAGTCTTCTGTGGAGAAGGTTGGCTGACCTTTGAGATGCTATCGGCTGGCTGGAAAGGCTGCGGCTTCGACTATGTTCACAGCACCTCGCATGACCTTCACACATCCCAAGGTGTCAGACTTATCCTGGACTCAGTCTGCTGTATTCGCAAGTTTGGTTTGTGCTGGCTTGCCACCCCATGTAGCAGCTTCACTGTGATGTGCCGCCATCAGTCGGCACGTTTGCCTGAGAACGGATACCTTGGACCAGAAGATCCGTACCAGTTTGTGAAGGATGGAAACGCCCTAATGGAGTGCTCAGCGCTGGTCTACTTCGTGTGCTACCTGTTGTCAATACATGTGACCTTAGAGCAGCCTACAACTTCCGTCATGAGCCTTTGCGCCTCGCTGAAGGGAGTGCTGTTCTTCACCAATGCCGTGAGGTACAAGGTGTACATGGGAGCTTACAATGGGCCTACAGTGAAACCACTAGAACTGTGGTCGACTTGGCCATGCATAGGTGGTTTGGAAACAGGCCGTCCAGACATGCCTGAGGCTGAAAGCCTGGTGTGTCGCTCTCGGTCTGGGTTCACTGGACGCAAGGATCTTTTGCAGCAGAGCCAAATATATACACAGGAATTTGGCAGAGCTGTTGCTGAGATTTGTACGAGAGAATGGGCTTGAGCCAGGCCTTAATTTAGTTTGGGTCCTCAGTGTGTGCGCTCAGCGAAGAGGGCTGTGCTTTTCACACACTCGCGTGTGGGATGAAAAAGGAAATTGCAGCAAATGCACTTGTCATTTTCAATGAAGAGCCTCGAAAGTACTCGAATTTAAGCCACTTCACTCTCTAGCTTTGATACTCTTCAAGATGAGTCTTGTACTGCTGAGGTGGTGCCTGGACTTACCCAGATCCAGCGGATGCTGTCATCGTTTTTGCTCTGTTGTGGTCAGCTGTTAGACATGACTGACACGACGTTGTGTACGATGTGCCCTCGTCCTGTTAAGACTAGATCCTTCGTGACCCACCGCAAGTTCACCGTAAATCCACCTGTATCTAAATGAGTTAACCACATCCATGTACATTATCATTGAGATATTCTGTTTTAAAATGGTTTGAAATGAAATAACATGAAAAAAACATTGTTTTTCTGTTTTTCTAGTGGTCAAACCCCTACTGATCTAACCCCTACTGATCTGACCCACCATTTAGTGTCAATGATCCACAAGTCCAAGAAGCAAAAACACCTTTCAGAGCGACCCTGTGTGCCTGTGTTTGAACACGGACCCGAATCTTGCGTCGCACAAAACAGCTGTCGGTCAAACAGCTTTCAGTATCGACAGCTATTGACCAACCTGGACCACAAAGAGATGCGCTTCATGGTATCCACTGACATCTCATCCTCGTTCTCCAAACATGTTTTTTACTTACACTCCCGAAAACTAACATAGACCCTGAGAATGGCCCCCCTGGAAGAGTGTTTTCCTCTACCAACCAGTGGTTTTCAGGGTCCATGTTAGTCTTCCAGGGTGTAAGCCACCGTTGTTGCCGGAGTTCCCCAAGGCCGAGGCCTCTTTCAGCACCCTGGTGCAACGAATTCAGCGGACGGGGAGGGCAGCCCATCAGTCCGACAGGGGTCCGTTCTCCCAGAAAGCCCTGGAGAACCCGGAGCTTAAAAAACACTCACCAGCAAGAACCCCTCAGGTGTTGACACAGTGTTTGGGGAAAAGACCTTCGGAACCGAGGCACTGCTGAAAGGGCGAGGCCTCACGTGCCAGCTGCATGGCCTCGCCATAAAGCCGTCGGCCTGGACGTCGTATTACGGTCGTCTTGTTGACGAGTCTGTTCAAGAACAGGGACAGACACACGCCTAGTAGCCTCTTTGCTCCTAGTAGTAAGGCCAAGAACCCCCAGTAGCTTCTCTATACGGTCTGACATGACATGTTTAAAACTTTCAAACACAAGGACAAACACACGCAATAATCATCACTAATCTCATATGTTGCTGCTCAAGAACTGTGTGCCCCCCCAAAAAAGGAAGTGTGTCGACGGATCTTGAAGGGTCACACCATGTCGCGAGTTCGGGAGACCGATCGGCCAGGGGGGAGGGCCAGCAGGTGTTTCCTGCACGAGTTTCCACTGGGTGAAATACGTCGGGCACTGAGTATTGAGCAAGGCGCTTACGGAACTTCAGATATGCTCCGTACTCTGTCCATGAACCAATTAAGATTTCTGAACATGGAACACGGACCGGAGGTCCGACACTTTGCCTCTAAAACAAGTATGGAACCCACGAACCCGAATGTGAGATATCAGTGAAAGGAGCGGATTGTCATCAGACATGACATGGGACAGCAAATGAAAACCGATCGGATTACTATTCTCTGGTGAGACACTCTTGTGTAACACTCTTGCAGCGCACGCTTGCACAAAACTCTTGCACGACACTCTTGTTTCACATTTTTGTAAGACACTCTTGTCGGATATTCGTGTGGGACACTCTTGCAGCACACTCTTGTAAGACACTTGTGGGACACTCTCGTGGGACACACTCTCGTGGGACACACTCTTGCGGGACACACTCTTGTGGAACACTCTTGCGCGACACTCTGGTAGAACACCCTTGTGGGAGACTCTTGCGAGACGCTCTTGTTGTGGGACTCTTGTGTGCAACTCTTGCAAATCTCTTGCGCGGCACTCTTGTAGGACACTTGTAAGACACTGTTGTGGGACAACTCTGCTAGAACACTCTTGGCAGACACTCTTGCGAAAATTGTTCCAAGCAGTCTCGTGCAGCACTCTTGTAATGGAACACTCTGGCGGGACACGATTGCGGAAACTCTTGTGGGACACTCAGGTGCATTAGTCTCTTGTGGGACACCCTTGGGCCCTTGGGGGAAGACTGCTACCAACCACTAGTACGACTCCCTCTACCACTATGTAGGACACTCTTGTGGGGCACTCTTGTATGGCACGACATTCTTGTGGGAGACTGTTGCGGGAGGCTCTTGTGGGACACTCTTGTTTGTCACTCTTGTGGGACACTCTTGCGAAACAGTCTTGTAGGAGCCTCTTGTGGGACACTCTTGTATGTCACTCTTGTGGGACACTCTCGTAGGACACTCTTGTCGGACACTCTTGTGGGGCACTCTTGCGGAACACTTGGAACACTTTTGTAGGACTCTCTTGTGGGACAATCTTATCTTGTGACACTCTTGTAGGACACTCTCGTGGAAACTCTTCCGCGACACTCTTGTGGGACACTCTTGTTTGTCACTCTTGTGTGACACTCTGGTATGACTCACACTCACCCTTGCGGGGCACTCTTGCGGAACACTGTTGTAGGACACTCTTGCGAAACACTCTTGTAGGACACTCTCGTGGGGCACTCTTGTGCATCGCTCTTGTGAGACACTCTCGTAGGACACTCTCGTCGGGCACTCTTGCGGAACACTCTTGTAGGACTCTCTTGTGGGACACTCTTGTGGAAAATTCTTGGGACTGTTGTAGGACACTCATGTGGGACACTCTCGTGGGACACTCTTGTAGGACACTCTTGTGGGAC